TTTTTTAATTAAAAGTAAAATAAAACTACTTAAAACGCATATTATTATTCTAAAACAACTTACGTTTACGTATGAACTTACTTTGTTATCGATTAGCCTCTTCTTAATCGTTAATTGATATCCCCGATAGCAAAGAGTCGCGTACACAGAAACACGTGCTTGGGTATTGTTCAATTTGAAACAATTTTTATTTGAATTGATTAGTTATTAGTAATATAAAGTAAAAGAAGTACAGCTGCAAAAGTTTCATAGTGTGAATAATGCGATTCCGGCGTTTAATAACATATTTAAATTTCAGTTGGTGAAATTAGAACCAATGCGATTACAGCATGTGCAAAATAAAAACGGCAGTTACCGAGTTAAATCAATTTAAGTGAAAACAGCTTCAAAACCAAAACACGTAAACATTTTATTTATTTATTTTATTTCTAAAGAATCTGCTATTTATCAACATGACCATAATTTATACGCGTTAAATTTCATGAAAGAAATTAATCAAAACCAAAGCAGACGAATAGAGAGTATTTAGCAGTGGGCCGAAAAACCGCAGCTGATTAGCATACAGTAGATTTTTCAAATGTGCTTGTCTGGTGGTTGGTGATCTTTTCTATTTTATTATTTAGTGTAGTAGTAGAAACTATAATAATAATGAAAAAGTATGAGCTATTTTCATTTCCTAATGCATGCAGACAGCACCGAATGGTGAATGGCTTTTATAATATTAGCTATAAAATCATCTTGCAAACAAATCCAACAACAATAAAAGTGTCAACAAGTCCTCACACATGCTACATGCCATACGAACGCACTGTGCCATGCAACAACATTTTTATAAGCAACAGCCAAATTCCTATCCATTTAAGTGTCACAATTTAACCTTACCATCACTTATATTTATGAAAGTATTTTATATAATTTGTTTTTTTTAATACAAAAAACATATATATTTTACCCTTACTTTTACTAAATACAAATTTTCATTTTCTCTCTCTCTCCCCAACCACCCACTTGGTGTTAATACGTAGGTTCAGCACCGCTTGGTTTTTATACGCCTGTGAAAGCGCCCATCGAAAGTCTCTTTCAACTGGGAGTAACGCGTGCACCTAACGGTAATGATCATCACGCCTTTAATAACACCTCAACGCCCACAACGAACGGCGGCACCACCGTCAACAATATAGCCACACAGAATGGACAGAGTAATGGCGTTTCGAACAGCAATGGTGGCGCTGATGACACCGAGGAGTCGGAGAGTTTGCAGTATATAAAACCGGCGAACGATGATCTCACCATTGCGTACAGTGAGGGCGCGCAGAAGACAGATTTATTGTATTAAGTGAGCGCAAGGTTGCAAGTATGAAATTGCAAGGTGCCAGATGCAGCGTGTGGAGAAGGCGAAAAGGGTTTTGAAATTACTGATAGTACTGGATATTTGGCAAGCAAATGTCGGTGGCGAACTGCTTGTAGGTCCTGGCTGGCTGACTGACTGGCAGCGCATATTCCGCCGAAGCATTGCGTTTCGGAATTGTTTAACATTTGCGTAGCAGTTAATGTCTGCACTAGTTTATAAGTCGTTTAGGTGGGCATTCTTCTTTAGTTGTATGTAAATTTTATTATAATTCTAATTTTTGCGTTTCTCTCTCTTTTTCTCGCTTATTTACTTTACTAATTTAGTTATATAAATGCATTTCGCAATTAATACATTCTAATGCACTTTTTATGTGTGTAAAATTAATGCAATGCAAATTTTTTTGTCTGTTATATAAATATAGTAAAAAAAACAAAAACAAAAAGAAAATGAAAATGTAAAGCAATCATATAAAATAAATATTAATTTGAAAAGTCTGTTTAGCATACAGAAAATTTTGCAACATAATTGTACTAGATTAACTTTCATATACATTTGTATGTTGCATTAGAGCGTAGCGAAAACAGTGTAGTAGTGATAAAATATACACGAAAACAAGATAATTAAAAATCAAAATAACAATAATGTCAGAAAAATATTTGCTCACTATGTCAGAAATGTTAAAACTAATAATATGAGTCGTATTTTTCTTGAAAAATTAATTTTCTATATAACATTGAATGGATATGCCATAAATTAAATATTTTAAAATAATTTAAAAATATGAAAATTGTCAAAAATTATAATTCTTTAATTTTGAGGTTACATTAAAATTTAACTTCTTAAATGTAAAACATTCCACTGTTTCCAATTTGGCTATACAAAGCTATAACTGAATGCATCAGAAATGAATATTTTTATCATTTAATAATATGAAAATGTTGAGAAATTTAAATAAAAATTTTAAATTCAAATATGAAAATTCTCAATAATTATGTTTTTGCGAATTTTCAACTAGTTTAGAATTTCATGCAAACCACACAATTACTTTTAAACTAATTTGTTAAATTATTCATATGTACATTTATTTACAACTTTGTGTCTAAATTTGAAACATTCCAAATCTTGTATTTTTGAACTGCAAATGTTACAGAAACATAAAAATCATGTGATTCACCTTTTTTTGAATTGTACGATAACCTCAAACTTCACGGAACGATTTGTTGAAATAAGCATTATCCAGTTGACATTGAAACAAATTTAAAAAATTTTATTTTTTGTCGCAAAGTTGAGCATAAACCAATATCTGCGTATATTAAAATCTACAATTTGCTAGTTTTTTGTAATACGAATTTTTTTTCTAAATATTTTTTTACTTGAAAATATATCAAATATTAAATTCAACAAAGTCGATATATAAACAAATCAAATTAGAAAAACATACAGTTCTTGTTTACCTATAAAACTTAAAAACTATCCATAAATATCAAAAAATTTAATTTAAATAAACTCAAAAGCTTCAATATAAAGTRTTGTTGATCTCCAAGCTGAGTTKRTTGATGATCGCAACTCTAACCAAATGCGTTACATTTGCTAAATACAAAAATAAATAAAAATAAAACACTTGTCAAACTTATGTAGTTTCGAAAAAATCGAAAATGCTTTAAAGAAAAATGAAACAAAAGCGCGCGCTCTAAATGCCGATTTTCATACATGCATACATACATATATTAATTTTTTGTATTATGTATTTTACTTATAATACCTTATATTAAATAATATTATATATACATATACATTGCATACCATTTACTATATACGATTATTAATTATATTATTACTGATTTACATGCATACATACATACATATTAAATATATACAATACCA